TCAGAAGAGATTTTGAAACTTTCTCTTGAAAGTCGAGAAGCTAAAGTGAGCGGAAGGAATGATAACATATAAGAGAACTGAACAGAACTTTTCAAAGAGTAGCTCAAAAAGACAAAATAAGTTTAACAAAGAAATGGCCCAGAAGACAGAGCGCTGTGACATTCGTGGTAGAGAGACAGTGGCAGAGAAGTAAAGTAGCAGAGGCAGGCATGAGGCAGAGTGGTGGGCTTCTTGGCCCACAAGCAAGCAAGCGGAATGCCTTTGGGCAGGGGACATGTTGGTTAAGTGGTGTGTCTCTGGGCCCTTAGCTGATGTCATTGTTGCTAACTGCCATTGACTCGGTTCTGACTCAGTGACCAGAGCTGAAAGAGCTTTTCAATGTGTGCCCTGAGCAGGGCAGAAGTCAAGAGACCCTGTGGCTGAAGGTCAGGGAGAAGTGTCCCTACAGGTGAGGCTGGGAAGAGGTTGTCTGCATCTGAGCACTGTATCTTAAATGTTTCTGAGTCTGAACTGTAATCTGTGAATTTCCCTAATAAATCCCATAATCGTTTACTCTGAGGAGTCCTGGTGCGGCGCTGTAGGATCAGCACTGGACTGCAAGGTCAGCGGTTCAAACTTACCAGCTGCTCCTCAGAAGCCTTATCCAGGGTCTCTGAGTCAGTGCTGATTCGATGGCACCTGACAACAACAACAGTGCTTAATAGGAAAGTGCGGTGACTCTGTAGGATAAGAACGGGAATGTAAATCACAAGGTTCACAGTTCGAGTCTAGCAGCTGCTCTGCAGGCGAAAGATGAGGCTTTCAGCTCCACAAAGATTTAAAGCCTCAGAAACCTTTACAGACGTGCTATGAGTTAGACTTGATGGACTTACAACAGCAGCGAATGTCTAATAAGTAAACTAAATTTTAATAACCTAAATTAACAGGGATCAATCTTTATATGTGAAGTAGAATCCATATTGAAATATGAGTAGAACGTAAATGTAGACGGTGTTTTTAGAACACTTAAGAGAAGTGGTAACTGATTAACTACTTAACAAAGTCGACTCCTGGGAGTCAGCTTCTTGTATGCGATCCCTAGTTAAACTATAAAATTAAAGCAGAGCTTGCTGGGAGTGCCGCTAGCTTGTACTAACCTTAGCTGATGGTGGTAGTGGTTATGTGCCATGGAGTCGGTTCTGACTCATAGTGACCCTGTATAGGGTTTCCGAGGTTGTAAATCTTTACAGGAGCAGAAAGCCTCATCTTTCTCCCGCAGAACAGCTGGTAGCTTTGCACTGCTGACCTTGAGATTAGCAGCCCGATTCGTAACCACTATGCTAACAAAAAAAGAATTCAAGGAGACAGGAAGAGGTTAAAAGTACCCCCTCCCTGCCTCTTCCCAAATCTGATTTTCTTTCTCCCTCCAAATGCTGAATGGTCAATACCTGAGGAATTGGAGGGGAGATGCCCAGAAGGAAGTCTGTGAGCACAGAGCAAAGAAATGAGAATTTAGCTGCTCCAGTACCTCAGTCTGTCCCGAGTTTCTGAATCCACGCAAATCACTGATCCTGGTCCTTTCAACCAAAACAAGGCCACTGCCAGAGTCGATTCTGACTCACAGCAACCTAGAGGGCAGAGTAGACCTAGTAGGCAGCCTCATCTCTCTCCAGGGGAGTGGATGGTGAGTTTGAACCTCCAACCTTACCATTAGCACCCCAACCCTTAACTCATTCTACAAACAGGGATTCTTCCAGTTCCTTTAGATCAGGGCTGGGGAACATCCTGCCTGTGGATAAACAGTGGACTGTTAACCTCAAGATCAGCAGTTCAAGCCCATCAGCCGCTCCTCGGAAACTCTACACAGGGTTGCTATGAGTTGGCACTGACATCACGGCACTTAACAACAACAACACTTGATAAAGAGTGTTGGTGTGGCTCTATTAGATCAACACTGGACTGCTAACTGCAAGGTTGATGGTTCAAACCCACCAGCCACCTGTGGAAACTCTATGCAGGGTCACAATGAGTTGAAACCGACTTTATGGCACTAAATGACAATGAAAAGGGAGCACGGTGGCTCCACAGGATAAGCACTGGACTGTAAACCACAAGGTCAGCGGTGTTATATCACCCGCCCTCCATGGGAGAAAGATGAGTGAGGCTTTCTGCTCCTCCCAAAAGATTGAAAAGTCTTGGACACACTATACAGGGTCAGTGTGAGTCAGAACCGATTCGATGTCACTTAATGACAAGTGATTAAGATGGCCTGAAGTTTATTTCTCTGACAGATGTTAAGGGTAGGCTGGATGTTGTGACTCCAAGAAGTATTTTGGCTCCTACATCTTATTTTCTATTTTAAAATAGTGAGGAAATAAATGTCTTATAGAAAGTTATACACACACACACACACACACCACACACACACACATATATATATATATATATTTTTTTTTTTTTTTAATTTTTTTTTTTTTTGCGTATGTGCCTTAGTTTTCTTCTCTGAGCAATGAGCCTAGCAATTGTACCTGATGCATAGGACTCTAACACAAAAAACCAATCCATCCACTGCCATTCATTGGTTCTGACTCATAGGACCCTTCAGGATTTCCAAGGCTGTGACTCTTTCCTGAAGCAGGCAGCCATATCTTTCTTCCTCAGAGTAGCTGGTAGATTCAAACCACCGACGCTTTGGTCAGCAGCACGGCCCTTAACCCGCGGCACAAGCAAGGCTTCATCAGGACTGTTGTCAAGTGCCAACGAGTCGGATCTGACACATAGCAATCCGCTGTAGGGTTTTCAAGGAGTGGCTAGTGGATTTGAAACCCTAACCTTATAGTGAGCAATCCAGTGCTTATAACGCCACACCAGGACAAAAACCACAATGCCACTGAATCTAATGATGACTCATAGCAACCCAATGTAGTAGATAAGAGTTCCTGAGGCTGTAAGTCTTTATGGGAGAAGAAATTCTCCCATAAAGACTTACAGCCTCAGGAACTCTACAGAAACCTCGGAGCAGCTGAGGAGTTTGAACTGCTGAGCTGGCAGTTAGAAGTCCGGGACTATAGTGCAAAGTACATGAGCAAGAGTTATGGCCTGTTACACAATAGATACTCATATTAGCTAGGAACATTAAGGGTGGATTAGTGGATGAAACCAAACACACACAAAATATATTTTATATGATTCTGTTTCTATGAACTTCTAGAAAGTGTAAATTAATCTACAGGGACAAAAGGAAGCTCTGGGGGAGGGTGGTGGTGGTGGTGATGTGCTGCGGAGTCAGTTCTGACTCATAGCAACCAGGGTTTCCAAGGCTATAAACCTTTACAGGAGCAGAAAGCCTCCTCTTTTTCCCCCACAGAACAGCTGGCAGTTTCGAACTGCTGACCTTGAGGTTAGCAGCCCGACTCGTAACCACTGTGCCATGTTTTCAATCTTGATTGTGGTGTTGGAACTTATACACATGTGCATACAATTTTCACAATTTACAATGGGTCCGATCCATGGTGTGTAAAAGCGCTTTTCTCTCATCTCACTCCCCCCACCCCCACCTCCATGCAATTAAAGTCTTTGGGGATGTGAATTCTATGACTCTATGATGCAGGTTAAAGAAAACAGGGTGAATTTATAGGCTTAAAATTTCATGAAGCAACATGGTCAACAGGTACATACATAAAAATTAAACATTGCTCCTCTACAGCATATTTAAAGTGGCTCTGGTGATGCTGACCACAAGGTTCCAACCCCAAAGTTGCTCTGCGTGAGAAAGATGAGGCTGTCTGCACCCTTAAAGATTTACAGTTTCGGAAACCCTATATGCCCTATATGGAGTCGCTGTGAGTTGGAACCAACTCAGAGACAGTGGATAGCATATTTAAGGAAATCTGGAATCTCTACGGGTTAGGTGTTGGGTTGCTAACTGAAAAGTCAGTGGTTCAAAACCACCAGCTGGTCTGCAGGGTGTGGGGAGATAAGGCTATTTGGTCTGGTAAAGATTTATAGTCTTAGACACCCTACACAGGTTTGCTATGCGTCAGAATCACCTTGATGGTTGTGGGTTTGGTTTGTATAGCATATTCTGTTTTATCACAGGGTTGATTAGATTTAGTGATATTTTAGAAAGGTTCTATTTATCTTGGGTAGATACTTTGTGTTAAGTTCCAGACCACTGCAATAAAGTGATTCTCACAATAAAGTCATACACACACTTTTTTTTTTTCTTTTGGTTTCCCAGTGCATATAAAGACTCCTGGTGTGACGTTGCAGGATAATGCGCTGGACTGCAAGGTCAGTTTGAACTGCACGGTCAGTAGTTCAAACCCACCAGCAGCACCTTGGAAATCCTATACAGGGTCATTATGTGTCGGAATCAACTCTTCCGCACTAACAACAGTAGCAAATGCACATATAAAAGTTCTGTTTACACCATAATGTAGTCTGTTGCTGTTGTTATGTGCTGTGTGCCATGGAGTCGGTTCTGACCCATAGTGACCCTGTACAGGGTTTCCAAGGCTGTAAATCTTTACGGGAGCAGAAAGCCTCATGTTTCTCTTGCAGAGCAGCTGGTAGTTTTGAACTGCTGACCTTGAGGTTTGCAGCCTGATTCGTAACCACTACGCTACCAGAGCTCCTTATATAATGTATAATGTATATAATGTAGTCCACTAAGTGCGAAAAGGAGTGCTGGCATAGCGCTGTGGGATAAAGCGCTGGACCAGAAAGTCGGTGGTTCAAATCATCAGCTGCTCCTTGGAAACCCTATACAGAGTTACCATGAGTTGGAACCAATTTGGCGACACTTAAAAAAAACAATAATCAAGAAAAAGCAATATGAGAAAGTTTGAAATAGTATGAGAACTACCAAAATGTGAGATACGAAGTTTGCACATGCTCTTGGAGACATGACCCTCACATACTTGTTCCCTGCCAGACTGTCACCAACCAACCAACAGCCCAACACAGCGGAGAGAGGAAGACCGAGGTCTGCCTGCATTTTCAGCCGCAGGCCCATCTACCTGCGTTGAACTCGGGATCGTTTTCCAGCACCGTCACCGCTCCTTCGACAGCATCCACCGCGCTCCCTCCCTCCTTGAGGATGTTGTAACCCACTGTGGCGGCTCTCATGATCCCCTGGCGCACACACTCTTTCCGGTCCTTGGAGATATTGCTGGCGCCACCTCCATGGACCACGACCACGGGATTCATGTCGCCAGATCCTAGAGAACACGAAAACCAAAGGGTTTCGAAAGACTCAAAGAAAGCCTTCCAGGGCCTAATCTTAGGAGAGCTCGCTGGGGACAAGGTTCATTTCTATTCTGGGCGTGTCTGAGCCAGCGGCTGCAGCCGAAACCCAGGATGGGGGAGGCGAGCCTCGGTCTGAACTCTGCACAAACAGCCCAGGGCGCCCCACACGGGGGTCTCACGTCCAGCTTCCCTCCTACTCATGGCTCAGCCTGGGCCTCGGGTGCTCCCTGTTACCCCACAGGACCTCGCCCCATGACCCAGGCTGGGCCACCAGCCAGGGGGAACTGGGTGGCCCCGGTGGACAGAGCTCCAGCCCGTCCCCTCCTGCTCCTGTTCGGACCTCAGTTTCCCTATACACGCGAACCTGCCATGGCCCACCCCCCACTCCCGGGCTGGATCTCCGCAGCATCCTCCTGCCTTGAACCTGCACTAAGGGAGGATGAGTCCTGCCTGAGGCAAAGGGCAGCTGCTCGGGCACAGGCGTACAGAACCTCTAAGCTTCCTCTGCAAGCACAGCTGTGCAAACCGCTCAACTTGCAACCGCTGAGCCGCAACGGTTCGCGCGCCTGCGCACGAGGGCGGGGCTGGCGCTTCGCCGACCATGGCGAATTACCGTAAAGTTCAGAAGCGCGGGGCGGAGCACGTGTCACTGACCTTTGTCTTCTCATCCCTGGCGGCCGGTCCTCCCACGCAAGCTTCCTAGCTGTATGCAGGGAAATCTCCCTTTTCCCTCAGAGACTGGGGTTGGGATGGGGGAAACGGTGTGCCAGGGCTTTGTAATTGCAAACTGAAAAGTATGCACTGCAAGCTTTCTCTGCCATACTTTCTCTGCGGGAGAGATTTGGCAGAAAATGTAATTAAAAACAAACATCTCTTGCCAAACCCAGGACACTTCTCCACAACAGTAGAGGAATGAACCAGGTCTGTGGTTGAATAAGCGTTAAGCAAGAATGTTATGAACGTCGATATTTCACAAGATATCTAAAGAGATGGCAAGAAGAGAAACAAATCTCTTTTAAAAGTTAAGCAGAGGTGCAAGTCCGTCTGCTGCCTATAACTGATTGTTGTTATTGTTAAGTGCCATCGAGTCGGTTCTGACCCATAGCGACCCTGAACAAGGTTTCCAAGGCTGTAAATCTTTATGGGAGCAGAAAGCCTCAAATTTCTCCCGCGGAACAGCTGGTAGTTTCAAACTGCTGACCCTGAGGTACACAGCCCCATTTGTAATCACTACGCTACCAGAGCTGATTGGAATACCTAAAATGGGACTATAAAGTGCCCAGTGAAGAATGCTTCCTGAGGATCCTCTGCTGTTACATAAGACCATAGGTGGAATTCTGAACCCTATCCAGAATCTTCAGAGGTGGGAAATTTCCACTTGAAAGGACAAGCAGACCAGCCTTAAGCCGCTAAAACAAAGAAGATACACCTTGAAACAAAGACCTACAGGAAGAATACAAAACAATATAGGCAGTCCGACTGATTACTACTACAAGAACAAGCAAATTGCTTGCTCAGGAGGGGAGTGATTAACTTTTCAGTCTAGGAGCGGAGGTTCCTGGAACCATCAAGGGAGAAGAGCAGAGTGCAAGACCCTACCCAGAGAAGCAGTGATGCCAGAGATGGAGGCAGAGAGACAACGTGGAGAGATGGAGCAGCTGGGGACTCTAGACCCAGAGAAGAGGGAGACAGACTGTGTGCTGATGACCGGGTTGGGAGGGCGGGGGGCGGGGGGGGGGCAGGCTTGCAGGGTATACCTTTTGCTTGGTTGATGATGCATGGAAGGGATTGTAACCATGGCAATGAATGTAAAGCTAATGTTCTTCCATGTAAACTATCACATAATTCACAATAAAACATTGAAAAAAATTAAGCGGAGACACCCCATTTCACAGATGTTCTCAAGATCAATGGTGACTAGTCCTCCAGAGGACTTGACAGCACTGTTAGTGGCACATGGTTGGTTGCCTTTGAGTGAGCTCAGATTCAGCAACCTTATAAATGTCAGGTCCTATTCCATTCACAGAGTGTGACGCTGTGGGTTAACGCACCAGATTGCAAAGCCATTTGAACTGCAAAATCGGCTGTTCAAGCTCACCAGCTGCTCCTTGGAAACCCTATACAGGGTCGCTATGGTTCGGAATCGACTCAACGGCACGTAACAACAACATTCCATTTTCATAATCGTGGGGATTGTGTTTCGGGATTGCCTTTACCCAAAGGAAAAGTAAGTTTCGCATATATTAACTTGGAAACAGGTGCTCTGGAAATTATGTTTCTACTTTCTCATAGAGATTAGGATGTAGTGTTCTGTTACTTGGTGATTACATTTCAAAAAGATGGTGCCCAAGTCCTTGAGAAAAACACTGACTTCCATCACATGTTTTAGGATTTTCTTGACTATAAGCTAGGTGTTTTTTTTAGGGGCCCTGGTACTACTTGGGCCTTGGTAGAGTAGTGGGTTATGCTGGGGGCTACTAGCCATAAGGTGAGCAGTTTGAATCCACCAGCTGCTCTGAGGGAGAAAGCAATAGTGACTCACTGTCCCAGAAACCCTGTGCAGAGCCCCTATGAGGGTGGGCTGGCTGAGCTCAAACTATTAGCCTTTAGTCAATAAATTTTTGGCTCACAGTGACCCATGTGACAGGGCAGAACTTCCCCATAGGATTTTTTTTTTTTTTAATTTTTTGACTGAAATCTTTAAAGAAGTTAAGTCACTGGTCCTTTTACTGTGGAGCCTCTGGGTGGGTTCAAACTTCCAAGCTTTCGGTTAGCAGTCAAGCTAATAACTGTGAGACCACTCTCAGGGCTCCTTTATAGGCTACTGTTGTTGTTGTCATTGTTGTTAAGTGCTGTCGAGTCTGTTCCTGACTCATAGCCACCCTGTATAGGGGTTCTGAAGAATGACTGGTAGGTTTAAACCACAAACCTTGTGGTTATCAGTCCAGTGCTGATCCTACAGTGCCACAGCAGAAGTCCACAGGCAAGCACAAAGGGCTCCTTATGGTGCAGTGGGTGGAGCGCAGATGCAAAGGGGCTTCACTGGAGAAAAGAGCTGGTGATCGGCTCCAGGAAGTATGACAGCCTAGGAAACACTGTGGGCAGTTCTCTGTCCTAAAGATCTCTATGAATTGGAAGTGAGTAGACAATGTAAAGAAAACAAAAATCCTCACCACTGTCCCAATAAACAACATTCTTATCAATGGAGGAAAGGAGCTTTGGTAGCGTAGTGGTTACGAATCGGGCTGCGAACCTTGAGGCCAGCAGTTTGAAACTACCAGCCACTCCGCGGGAGAAAGATGAGGCATTCTGCTCCCGTAAAGATTTATAGCCTCTGAAACCCTGTACAGGGTCGCTATGGGTCGGAACTGACTCGACGGTACTTAACAACAACAACAATCAATGGAGAAAAGATTGAAGTTGTCAAGGACTTCACTCTTCTTGGATCAACTATCAACACTCATGGAAGCAGCAGCCAAGAGATCAAACAACATATTGTATTAAGCAAATCTGCTGCACGAGACCTTTTTAAAGTGTTGAAGAGCAGGGATGTCAGCTTGAGGACTAAGGTGCGCCCAACCCAAGCCATGGTATTTTCAATAACCTCATAT